ATTGCAACATAAGGTAAAAATCCCATCTACTGGGAGTACTGTCTGCGTTTTTATTAATAAAAAAAAGATCTGACCATACAAGAATCCATAGCTGCAAGCAAGCAAGAACCTCAAAGCAGGACAAGATGTACCATGCATTTGGTCAAGATCTATTATAGAATCACAGGACAAATCCTTTGGGCTTGTAACATTTATATGGAAAGTATTTTTCCAGTGGCATTCTTTCTTCATCTCTTCATCTCTCACACTGTGGACCTTTAAAAATAAGCAGTGCTGGTCAAAGTACCTAAATATACACATAAGGCACTGACCATAAAAAGATTTATCAAATTTATCATTCTTCCGTACAGGCCAAATCATATCTCTGCTGCTCCATCTATTCTTACAGGATAGGGAAATAAAACCTTCGACCTGGTTTCTGTCTCTGCGCAGTGCACCTGAGCTCTGAGAGGACTTTGATCTCTATGTAGTTTGCTGTGCAGGATGGGAATAGGGTTGCTATGTGTCACAGCTGGACTCCACGTGGCCCTGCTGTTAAGGCAACAAGTGAGCTTTTATACTGTTGATATGGGAGAGGCTTAGGCTTATTCGGCCAACAGGTTCACAGAACTGAAATCCTCAAGATATAACTATGACAGGAAGATCAAATTTAAACACCACTATTACAAATGGTGTCTTCGTGATCTTCCCCATGAGGACTTATAAAAAGTTCATTTCATTCAAAGACGCATACAGGCCAGAATTCAATTTCTTGCCTGAATTTATATTTGTCTCCAGTTTGTAGGCTATTTGTCCAGTGGCACCATACTGTAAATATGGAACAGAAACAAGCATATGTGCTCAATTTACACGATTTCCTGTAGTGCTCTTTAAACCTAACCTTAGACTCCTACTTACGGTTATCATCTGGCTGATTTTGCTCAACAAAGACCCTGATAAAAAGCTGTGAGGAAATGGCACAGATTTACAGCCTTCTGCTTTAAAAGTTTCCCTCATTCCACTCTATGACCACACAACACAGCAGGTCAATTTTTAAGCAATCATTTGCACTAGATGTGTAATTACTCTCAGAAAACGGAGAGAAATAGACCCCTGTGACTATAAACCTGAAAAACAGATGACTAGCAAGATATATTACAACTGTTGTTCTCGACTGGTTTTGCTTCAAGATTTTACATTTTACATCTAGTGACAAAAGTTAACATTATAGTCCATAAAATTAAATATGAAATTAATATCACCATGAACTCCACAGCAATATGCAAAATTCTGGGACCACTTAAGAAAGAAACAAATACCCAAATATTGTCATTTTACCAAGTGAGAGAGATATATACTGTGAACACTGTACCCAAATATTTTGGGGTCAGTAATATTTTAAAGAGATTAATACTTTTATTTGGGAAGGATGCATTAAACTGGTCAAAACTCACAGTAAGGACTCTTACAAAAGATTTCTATTTCAAATGAATTATGTTCTTTTATACTTTCTATTCATCAAAGAATCCTGAAAAATTTGTGGTTTTCACAAAAATATTAAGCATCACAACTGATTTCCACACTGATAATAATAAGAAATTTTACTTGATCACAAAATCATCATAGAATGATTCCGAAAAAGGATCATATAACCCTGAAGACTGGAGTAATGGCTGCTGAAAAGAAAATTGTAATAATTTCAATTTAACAATATAACTGTTTCATTATACCTTCGTGCGCATAAGTGACTTATTTCAAAGACATTAAAAAATGGTACTGAACACAAATGTTTAAACAGTAGTGTGTATATATATATATATATATATATACACATACACAAAACATGAGGGTGTGTTCTCCTCTCTTTCAAAGGTATAAGCCTAATATATTCTGCCACCTAAAATATGCATGATTATATGGTTAGCTGCATTTTATTATTTGCATTCAGCATTGTTTCTCTCCCTGCTCTCTGTGACCAGTATGACGCACAAGTTGAGAACCACTGCAAGATACAATAATAAACATTCAATCAATTGGCCCCTTTTCTTCTGTTTCTCAACACCCAACACAATCAAGCCCATTACACTAGCTGCTAGTGGCTTAAAGAACTGTGTGGGTCAAAGGTTACATCTCTAGTACAGGAAAATGCCAATAGGAAGAGCAGTGAGGCCTCATAAGTTGCCAAAACTCTCTTCCTGAGCACATTCTTCCTGTCACTTCTAGCCATAGAGTCAAAGGTTAACCTCATCATCTAAGCAGAGTGAAAACGTCAAGACTATCAAGGAAAGATTCAACTATATATACATAAAGTATACAGTACCACAAGTTCGAACTATGAAAATTACTAGTTTGTTGAAGACTTTTTTAGACTTAACTTTTTGTCTGAATGACACATGATAGCTGGAAGGCTCTGCCACGGCATACTGATTATCAGCTATTTCATCTGCAGTATCAGAGCCAGTGTCTGGAAGAATTTGGAACATGGTCTCAGGCAGCACTTGTAATTGTTTTTGGAAATGTGCAGAGGATTGCCAAAAAAATTCCCCAAGATCCTAGGGGCAGACAAAACAACACTGCCATATAAAGTCAAGCCCTCAGCGCACATCAAATTAAGCTGTTATTTCAGAATGCCCACACAAACTCTTGTTAAAAAAAATGCTGTTGTGTAAACACAGTCATGGGCAGAGTTCAAATCACGCTACAATGTACAGTATGTGTCAGCAGTCCCGACACTTGTTTAACTTTGGCACCTCACTGTAAAGAGCTTAAACCCTCAAAACTAAACAAACTGACAAACTTGCTTTAAATCTCTTGGTTAAACATTCTGTCATAGCTTTGCATAGAAAGGATGCATTTCAATTTTGTTATATTTAGGAGCTTCTTTGGCAGAGCAAACCCAGGCTGACTGTAAACACAGCTTATTTTACTGAATAAAATGTACACATTATCCAAATGAGTTCAACCGAAGTTTTGCTTTGACATCACATATGGTCATCCTGAATTCAAAGCAAACGGCCTTCAAAAGGCATCATATAAAAAGTGATTTCCAGTTCAACAGCACTCTTCTTTATCACTCCAGAGGGCACAGGATGTGATCTGGCATCAGCTCTTCCAGCTGAAGCCCCAGACACAGATGTGGAGACTGAAGAAGCAGGAAGCTGGTCTGGTCACACCCTCTGCAAATAACAAACTGCACACGCCATCTCCCAGCCAGGAAGAAAATCAGGCCATGGCTGAGAGGTGGGAAAAATAGACACCCTGTGCTTTTTGAGTCACTGGAACCAGTAAGCATCTCCTGTTGCTAATTAATGGCCAAGTTGTTTATCCGCATCCACATGGTGTTTGAAAAATGGATTCATAATTATCTATATATCAGATATACTACTGTTGAAAAGTTTTGGGTGATTTTTTTATTTATTTATTCATTTTTTTAAAGAAAGTAATGTTATTCAGGAAGGCCGCATTAAATTGTTGAAAAGTGACAGCAAAGACATTTATAATATTACAAAAGATTTACATTTTAAATAAATTCTGTTCTTTTGAACTTTTTATCCATCAAAGAATCCTGAAAAATTGTATTATGGTTCCTAAAAATAAATATTAAACAGTACAACTATTTTCAACATTGATAATAAGAAATGTTTCTTGAGCATCAAATCAGTATATTACTGTAGGGTGATTTCTGAAGGATCGTGTCATGTGACACTGAAGACCGGAGTAATTGCTGCTGAAAATGCAGCTTTGCTATCACAGGAATAAATTATATTTTTTAAATATATTATAGAAATAAGTAATAATATTTTTCAATATTACACTTTTTATTGTGTTGTTACTATAGCGAAGAAAGTCATATACACCTAGGATGACTTGAGGGTGAGTAATATATGGACTATGGAGTAATATATAGTTCACCTAGTTTGGGTGAACTAACCCTTTAAAAACATGAAATAATCATACTGACCCAAACTTTTGAACAGTAATTCATAATTTAATTTATACATTTGAAATTATTATTATTTATAGTTTATTATATGATCCAAAAATATCTCCCTCAATTAACTGGAAACACTACTTGTAATATGTCCAGAACAATAATTTAGTGTCCTTGTGAGACATCCACATATAGGTCACTAGTTAAGTGTCACTACAGAGAAGCATACAATTGATTTTATGGCATTGTAATATTAACCATTAACAAAAAGTTCTGAATTCTCAAACTACAATCACCTTCATCTTATCAGAGCCATCAAGTCATTTATTTACAGTGTGCTGATGAGGAAATGTGATCCACATCGCCAAAAACATAAAACACAATAGTAGGATATCCACTGCAAACTTGTTTATAACAATAAGGCCAATCAGAGGGCAGTGTTGCCATGGTCAACACACCTCTGAGCCTGTCATACAGCACTCTGGCTCAGCAGGTGCAGCCAGTTATATGATGCTACAATAGACACAGCAAACACAACAATGCTGTGAATTCCTTTAATATTGACATGAGATGTGTAATTCATTGTTCCCTTGACCTGAAAAACTTAAGGCTAGTTTACTCCAGATGTAATATGTACTATCTAAAATATGAGTCAATTACTGTTTCATTCTGAAAGATGTTTTGCAAGATGTTTTGAATAACTCCTCCATCTGACCACAGTAGATCCTAGCTAATAAAGCATTATGCAATGATGATGATTCAGATTTGTAGCCTATTATTAGTTACTAGCTCACAGTATGAGTTCAGTTCAGAAACATAACCACTATGTAACTAGGTGTAACACTAACTTGCATCACCTATTGATATGACTGTGTGTGTGTGTGTGTATAGATAGATAGATAGATAGATAGATAGATATTTTAATCATAGTTTAGGCAGAAGTAAAGAAGAGAGGTTTTTATTCTTCTTAACATAATTCAGATTCGACTTCAAAATCCAAAGCAAAAATACAGAATACAAGTACCATTATGATACCTGTCCCGTACCAAAGCACATGGCAAGAGGGATCCCAGTAGGTGAATTATCTTACCTGAGTTTGAGGTTGGCCATAAACTCTTCCAAAGAGACACTGTCCAGAAGAACAAAGTCCGCCTTTCCGAACTCCAAACTTTCGTGTTCTGCCATATTAACGCGTTAGTAATATAAGCAAAAAATGTAGAGCTAACTGTTGAATATCCTACGAATACACAAGTCAATTCGACAACAGCAAACAGCAGGGATAATGCATCTCCATGAATTTGTTTACATTTGCCTAGCGCACTATTCGTCGGCTTCTTTTCATGTTATTAGTAAAGGAATATATAAACACGCATTGTTTGTTAACTACAAGTTGCTGTCGTCTTCTCAAAGATTGAAATGCCTAAAGCTACACACTCTTTGGTCGCCTGAAAACTTCACACAACTTTACGAAGCTCCCGGTGTTTGAGTGATAGTCCGCTACATCGAGCATCTCGCCTCTCGTCCCTTTTTCCACGAGCTTCACTCGTCTCGCCTCTCGCGTAAGCCCCTCCCCCCGAGGGCGAGAGCTAAAGCTTACCTCTAAACATGATAAAGTTACAAAGGTGGATACATTTAGCGTCGGGTCGACTTTGGCAAGCAGTATTCACATCTAGCCTACTTAAACCTAGAAATATTTTGTTGCTAGTAGCATATTTATTTTTATTACGTAATCCCAAATTTACAAAAATCAAATTCAAGCTAGTCAGAAGTTGATCGCTGAAAATCAAATCATAATAAAATTAAATAGCGAAAATGTGCATTTCTTATCAGTAATAGTGGAAGCAAAGTGTCGCTTTTTGGATAGTGACTACTAGCAAAGGAATAAGTACTGTAAATAATACGTAGCATCTAAGTGAATTACACTTTTGGAAATTTACAAGTGAGATAAAAGTAATCTCACTGGATTGCTATTCATAATTTAAAAATATGTCCTTGTAACATACTAGCATCGTCTAAGAAAGGAGTAAATGTTAAATAATTTGTCATAGTTAGCATTATAATATCAGTAATTTGAAGGGGATAGTCACATTTGAATTGAGCATAGTTAGCATTCTTTTTAGACTACTATTAGTCATCAGTGAGTTTCTGAATATCCCTGGAATGTCCGTCTGTCCTCTGGCCATATAAGGAAATGGATACAATCCCATTTGAGTGAACCGTATTACTGTAGTGCAGCAAATTATTTAAGTTAATTACAACAAACCTGAAAATAAAACTACCCAAAACCAAATTTACAGGTAAGCACAATAGTGGTTGAACCTTTTTTTCTGTCTGTTAAAACATTAATAAAACACATTTATTGGTTTCTTACGTGATTTTGGGCTGGCACGTGCTGTCAACGTGTCTGTAGTGACCTCAAGACATGAGGAGGTGTTTTAAGTTTAATGACAACTGAAGATGGCTTCAGGTTGCTCTGTTCAGCTGTGACTAAGTGACATCCTCCCTGATTAAACACAATGGGATGACTCTGCTGCCCCCACCTGTGTCTCTAGGAGATTGGGACAGTATTATTCCTAAAAGTTACATAATAGTTTACCAAAGTTATCTACAATAATAATAGTGTAAAAGAAAACAAAATTATTTACAATGTTAAAATTTAAAAATGTTTATATTTAAATCGAATTAAAAATAGTGTATTATATATTATTGCTATTATTACTATACACTATTTTAATTATATTTAAATAAAAATAAATATATTTTAAAAATGTAATATTATGAAAGCAATATTTGTTGAACAAGATTACTTACAAATATAAGAATGTAAATTTAAATATAATTACAAAGTTTACATATGTACAAGACAAAATGTTTCATGGCATTTTTTATAGAAAAAAAGCAGTATTTTCATTTGAAATATATCTTTCAGCAAGGGAACAAATATTGTTTTCTTTTACACTATTATTATTGTTATTGTAGTATTTATAAGTATTATGTGGATACATAAATATATATACATAATAATGACAAAAAGTTGTTGTTTAGTCTTAAATTCAGAAGTTTTATGGCAAAGTAATTTTTATAGAAAATAAAAACAAATGTTAAGGGTATTTGCATTTGAAATAAATCTCTTAGCAAGACACGTTTAAAAATAGTTAAAGCAATGAATAAACAGAACTAGCAGAACATGTTTTACCACTGTACATTTTATGTAAGTCAAACCGACTAGTTGGCACTATTAAACTGGCTTCTAATTAAACTATAAATGTTCAGAATTTTGCTTCAGATGACACTTACATTCCCTTAGATTTTTCTCACCATAAGCAATGAGCCCCCAAAAACGATGGTGTTGGATGCATTATTGGCCCAAGAGCGGCCACGGTTATGGGTCACATAAACCGTAGCACCCTTGCGCAGAGTCGTCATGTACGTAGACAGATTCCCAACTGAGCTGGAGCCCTGAACATTGCTATGGGACACAGCCACCCAGTAATTATTTACAACCAGCCATAGATCAGTTGTCCCACTGCCCCCAGTCTGTGTGGAGAAGAAGAACTGATAGACGCCAGAAACCGGAGCTCTGAATATCCCGGTGCGAGTGCTGAAAGCCCCTCCTTGATTCACATACACTTTCCTGTACATTATCCTGTTCACTTTTCCTGAGATGCTGGCCGGGTAGGTGACAAAAAAATGGACGTTTGCTTTCACTACAGACCACAAGGAAAGAAAATGCTGCATTATTTTCCTTAAAAGGTAGATCATTTTAATAATACAAACTACATTTTCACAGTGTGATTGATGATAAAGAGAAATGACTCACCTCTACTTTTGTTTTTCTTACACATCCAGGTGATTTTGTCTCTGCTGATGCAAGACTCAGATTTTCTGCACTTTCCACAGACAAGCGTGTTAATATCTGAAAGGATGGTGTACAACAGACAATAGCTTATATAAATACCTCAAATTTTCCTTAAAATCCACTTGCATCGTATCTTACCTGCACAATATGCCATATGGCAAGCTACCGGTTTGACAAACTTGTAGACGTAATAGTTTCCCCTACACGCTTTCACTTGAATGGGAGGAGATTTGAACAAACAGCAGTTGTTTTTCCAGTTTCCACACACCTTGCGGGTGACCACCCCATCTCGTATCCGGGGATGACCGCCGACGAGCCACAGCGGAGCGTGCGTGCCACACATTTCTTTCTTCACACACCTCTCGGGCATCTGGATGGGTTTCCCACGGTAGAAGAGACGGTACCAGCCCTTCCACTGGACACGACGGTCACAAGCAACATTCTTGGTGGTGTAGTTTGTGGCTCTCCAGGCTTGGTCCAGCGCGGTATAGTGATTGCAGGGGTCAGAGGACTCATCACTGTCATCCTCACCAGAGCCTTCATCTCCATCTCCATCCTGGGTGAGGGTATACAGCAAATGGCTGCTGCCTATCAAAGACAGACATAAATAGCCCTTTTTTGTATAAATAAATAAATATATAAATATATATATAAACTGGATATGGACTGGATAGTATTAATGAATTAGCTTTGTCCAACCTCTTCAAATGAATTAACTGATAAACATTTTCAATTCTTTACCTATTGAACAATTTTTTAATAGTAAATAATTGCAATAATTATTTACTATATACTATAATCATTTAATAATAATAATAATAATAAATACATTTAAAGCATACAGAATTTTTTTTATTTATTTTTTATTTACTTACCTGTTTGTAGTGATGTCAAATTCATCACCACGTCTGTATCAATAGGCTTTTGTGAACAGTGTGGTAATGCCTGCAACAAAACAATCATAGTAGTTTCTGAAGAAAATAGTTTGTCTCACAATATGATACATTTAGATAGTTTGGGCCTTATTTTCACTTTGAGATAATGGCACAATTAATTATACATATACATTCATTATACATTATACATAAAAATTTTAACAACAACATGCTTAAATCTTTTTGTATGTCCAATACAATTTTGCGGGTCTGATTAGAATTTCTTTCTTTCTTTCTTTCTTTCTAGCAAAGAATCTTTCATTATCAGCTTTAATTTTACCTGGCTCAAGGCTTCTTGCTTTTGTTTCATTACTGCTTGTTCATGTTTCAAGTTTTCCATCTCCTAAATAAATACAGAGGAAAAATACAATGCTCATACCACTTTCCCATTAGAAACTGAAATGTTTAGCACTCAGAAGCATTTTTAAATTCACCACTACCTTATACACAACAGCAAGTTGCTCCTGCAAAGGCTGGTCAACCATATTCCAAGCTCTGAATTTATACTGGAAACAGCAATGAAATATTGTGAAATAAAATGAAGTTATTTGCACAGTTACTGTGAAACTGTAGTTGTAATGTAAAAATATTTTAAATTGTTGGTCTTATTTTTTTATAACATTATTATATTAACCAAATCAGTGCTTACTGAAATATCTCTGTTCGCAGTATCGGCTGCACAGATAACCAGCATGGTAAACACTTGAACACATAAGCAAAGCATCTAAAGGTGAGAGTAAAAACTGCATTAGATTTTGTATTATTTATCTATATACATTAAAAAAATAAACATAAAAATAAAATAATAATTTAAGGTATGTATTTTTAATTAAAAAAATGGATTTACTGTTCTTAAATCAAGAAGGTAAACTCTTGGGATTTTAAGATACTATAGGTTACCAATGCTTACTGTAAGTGATTTGATTTTATAAGTGATCTTTTTTTTATTTATTTTTTTATTTATTTATTATTTTAGAAATTATAAACATTTGAAGCTTACCTTTTCACAAAGAGCAGATCTCTATGCGTTATGCAAGTCAACTATATAGAATAGAGTTTATATACTGCACCAGATTATGGGTGGACACTACTGCCATGCAAAAGGAAGTTGCTGGTTTGACTTTCACACCAATATTCTCTTACATGAGACTGGTGACACTCTTCACAAATAAGGTGCTAACATGCACTTGAAAAATGGGCACAAGCAGTTTTTGAGCTCATGAGGTCAGCAAAAAAAGAATTGCCGCAAAAATGTATTTGCATATGTGCAGGCAAAATACTATTGAAGTTGCATAAGTCAAACTAGAATGTCAATGTAAAACTAAAATAAAAACAAACAAACAAAAAGGAGACAATGCGTTAATATATTTTAAAGGGATCAAGTTCAAGACTAGGTCAGTATTTTGCATTAAACTGAGTTTTCTTTGTTTGAACTTTAGGAAAAGTGAATTAGCTTTTTATGACTGACCAGGTTTTAGTTATGAATTACCAAGTCAACCATTATACTTACACTCACATTGCAATTTAACAAGTTATTTGACAGTTAGAATTATGCCTTTGCAAGTATCATTCAGAAACCACATGTCAAGACAATGGTTAGAGCAAAAAACCTAGTCTTGCATTATCAGCAGAATAGTGACGAGGACTACAAAAGTACTCCTTTTTGCACAAACACGCATTTTGTTTAACATATTATCTTAAATAACACTTTAAATCTATTCTGCATTG